AATATCTATCAATTACTGATAATAGTATTATTCTCTTTACTATAATTTTCTCTGTATTATATTCTCAAATTTATTTTAAGTAGTTTGAATTAAAAACTTATATGTCTTTTTATTTTGAAATAAGCCAGTCTTTGATGAATTTGAGAGGTTAATACAACTAATACGTAGTGCCTATTTAATAAACCAGTGGTTCTCACAATGGACCTCTGGAGACCTCTGTGGACGTCTGGAGATCCCTTAGACCATTTTTCAGGAGGCTCAAGCAGTAAAAACTGTTCTGATAAAAATACTAATTCAGCCTGAGAAAGCGGATTAAAAATTAAAAATAAATTACAATAATTTTAAAAAGAATACAAAGACATTGCCTACTTTTTCACTGTTTGACACTTGCCATAATTTTTTAAAAGCAAAAGTGGGTGAAATTGCTTATTTCTCAGTACAAATTAAGTTCTCTCGGCATAAATCAAGGTGACCAAATTACACTAATAGTTATTCTATTCTCCACATCCCCTTGTAGTTAAAAAAGAGAGCCTGATCTAGTTAAGAATGTCTTTGATGAAGCAATAAAAATTAATGCTATTATTAAATCTTGAACTCCTGACCTCAGGTTATCCGCCCACCTTGGCCTCCAAAGTGCTTGTATTACAGGCGTAAGCCACCACGCCTGGCCTTATTAGGTGGTTTGCTGCATCCATCAGCCCATCATCTACATTAGGTATTTCTCCTAATGCTATCACTTCCCTATCCCCCAACTCCCTGCTATCCCTCCCCTAGGCCCCCAACCCCTGTCAGGACCCAGAGTGTGATGTTCCCCTCCCTGTGTCTATGTGTTCTCATTGTTCAACACCCACTTATGAGTGAGAACATGTGGTGTTTGCTTTTCTGTTCTTGTGTCACTTTGCTGAGAATAATGGTTTCCAGCTTTATCCATGTCCCTGCAAAGGACATGGACTCATCCTTTTTCATGGCTGCATAGTATTCCATGGTATATATGTGCCACGTTTTCTTTATCCAGTCTATCACTGGGGGCATTTTGGTTGATTCCAAGTCTTTGATATTGTGAGCAGTGCTACAATATGTGCATGTGTCTTCATAATAGAATGATTTATAATCCTTTGAGTATATGCCCAGTAATGAGATTGCTGGGTCAAATGGTATTTCTATTTCTAGATCCTTGAAGAATCACCACACTGTCTTTCACAATGGTTGAAATAATTTACACTCCAACCAACAATGTAAAGGTATTCTTATTTCTCTACATCCTCTCCAGCATCTGTTGTCTCCCGATTTTTTAATGATCGACATTCTAACTGGCATGAGGTGATATCTCAATGTGGTTTTGATTTGCATTTCTCTAATGACCAGTGATATGAGCTTTTTTTCATATGTCTGTTGGCTGCATGAATGTCTTTTTTTTTTT